TTGCTTCGGCCGCTAGGGCACCCCCCGCCCCCCCCCCCCCCCCCCTTTTTGTTTGCACACGGGGTGTTTTGACAGGACAAAAAAGGCGGGGGGGGGAGCAGTTTCACAACTGAAGCCTTGCTAAGCATCTTGCAGATTTTGATTGCTCCCTACGGACATCCATGTCTTCAGCCATAAATCTTGTGGTCCCCAGGAGCTGTAACTTCTGCAGGAAGGCCTTCCAGGCGCTGAACAATGTCCCCTTGGCACTCAGACTACATTCATTTCTGCATCAGCTTCAGACCTCAATATGTTTGCACATAGGCCATCTTAATTAGAGTGCTGTTTTATTTCACCTGTAGGAGTGATTTTTTTTTCGTATACTGCTACTTAGGCTGAGTCTTTTGTTGCTATAGTGTTTGTAGAGGCCGGTGTTATAACTCATATAGTTTTTCTGCCTCTGCCCAAAGTAATTCCGCTGGAGGCCCTGTTTTTTCAAATAACACATTCTGCAAGATCTCGTGCCTCTCTTTGTTTACTTTGCAAATCTACTAGTGGATTCTGCAACAGAACTGTGAGTGAAAAATTGCCCTTGGTGATTTTCTTTTTTTCCCCTCGATGACAGTAAAGCCCAATGTTCAATTTCACTGGCCTTGTTTGTTTGTTTGTTTGTCACATTTATATATTATTTATACCTTCCATTCAGCCTCTTGGCTAAAAGAAAGGGACTAAGCTTTTCCTGATTTATGCCTTACGTGTGCATACATTTTCATAAAGCTCTTCTATTTTTTTCCATAACTGTTTCTACCTAGATTCTCCCATTGTATCCAGTCGTAAAGCCACTGAATTTAATTTTACATTTCCAAAAATCAGCAGCTGAAGAGGGTGCTATGAGGTCCACGCAAGCTACACATAACCCCTACAGAATAAAAAGCATTTGGGGTAAAAACTTTCCCCATTTTCTACTTCTGCATCAAATATTTATTTGCCTAGTTAACTCAATCCTTCTCCCCTCCAAGCATTAATTCTGCGTGGGAAGGAAATGAAGGGATCTACTTTTTGAAGTCTATTGTGAGGGGAAAAAGAGCAATAAATAAAATGAATAAATAAAATTACAGAGCAATAAATAAAATTGCTATGTGGACTAAAGTTTTCAGTCAGGGACAGGAAGCTGGAAAATAGATGGACAAAGTAAAGTGGTGATCGAAGGAGTGTGACAGGAGCAATGGAACAGGGAAGGGTGTTAAAATTAGCACCAAAGGACGGTAGCATGACCTGGGCATCATGATTGTGGTTTGTGGTTTTGAGGAATAAAAAGGATTGCTGGGAGGGGTTCGGGGCACACGGCTAAGCTGTCTACCTGACCGCTTGCTCGTGCTGGACCTCATTGCAATGGGATCTTAAATAAGTATGTTATGTTTTGCTTCTTGAAGTAAGGTCTGTTTATACTTGCTTATTGAACTAACATTTAATAAATACTTTTATAGGGGATAGGGGAGAAATAAAACTTTGAAGTGTTCTGGTGTGTCTGTCTCTCAGGTTTGATGGGGTTTTTCCCCTGACCTTATCTATAACTCAGACATTTTGGAATATGGTTCCTATACAGCAGTGTTTCTCAATCTTGGCAACTTTAGGATGTGTGGACTGCAACTCCCAGAATTCCCCAACCAGCATGCTGGCTGGGGAATTCTGGGAGTCAAAATCCACACATCTTAAAGGTGCCAAGTTTGAAAAGCACTACTATAGGGGAGAAAAATCAGTATACTGGCATTTTGTGTTCTGTGTATGTGGGCGGGAAACGTGTTAGCTAAATTTTTGCTTTTCAGCCGGTCAGTGTCAAATGTGAAAAAGAAAGATTATTGTTCCTTTGTTGACTTAGAGACAGTGGATAGGCTTGAATAAGCTACCACATGAAGTTGAAGATTCGTTGCTGAATGTGATAAGAATAGTACATGACTGATGCAAAGTACGTGTGAGAATAAACGGCATGCTTAGTGAAGGGTTCAGAATTGAGCAAGGAGTAATTCAAGGGTGTGTGCTGTTCCCTTGGTTGTTTAATGCATTTATGGGCAAAGATGCAAAGAAGCTTGTAGGGAAGTTAAGAGTCAATTGAAATGGGAGATGAATGTGTTTGTACTTTTGTATGCAGAAGATGTTATGGTTTGAACTGAGCCTGAATGATTGGCATGGAACATTAGATGGACTGAATGATGCAGTCAAGCCAGGATCTGAACATTAATATATCAATATATTATCCAAAATGAATAACTATCTCCTTTTCTCTCTGCCATGAGTAAGCAGTGAAGATCCGCTCAGTTAAAATGAGGATCTCATGAAGGATCTCATTATGCCAAGTCCTTTGTTCAGCATCTGATTACAGATTCCATAGCACATGATCTTCTTAGATCCTTATTTGCTGCACATCACAAATATTTTCTGCCTTGCTGTGTGTGCAGCCAGGCTGTTGTGGCCTTGTGTCCCTCTGGACTGTCAATGGCTTTAGCCCTGTCCTTACTTCCCAAGTCACTGGTTGGGCTCACTTATTGCAAGAGACCATGATTTTGTTTACCATGGTTTGCTGTACAGGCCATAAAGGCTAGGTGCATATTTAAGGCATAAACGGTAGTTTGCAAACCACAGTGGCTGGTTCCTGCTGCACTACAACTGAGCAAACCTCATTATGACTTGGTGTGATGTGTGAACCCAGTCCAAGAGCTAAGCACAGGAACCATCCAAAAATAAAGCAATGGCTTTCTCTGAGATCTCCCTTTTTCCCAAATCACAAGGTGATGATGAGGCAATGAGGAGTTTAGTGCAATGTGTGAACCCAATTCTAATTTCCAACTGAAATAACATATAAAAAACATTACAACATTTGCACATCTTGTTGGGTTATCACTGCTTCATCTTGCCCTTGTTCTACTGCACAAACACACAGTTTAAATTTAGAATATATAGTCTTTGAGCGTTATATTTTCTTTATATGATGATGTTATATTCATAGCAATGCTTTCTGGATTGCACATGACACTGTGCATCAGCCAATCTGAATATTCATGCACTGATCCTCTCATTTATTGCATTATTACATCATTACAATACCCATTACAAATATTGCCTTCTCTCTGTGTGTTTTTTTTACAGCCATATAATAAATGAACTGATAGAAACCGAACGGGCTTACGTAGAGGAACTTCAAAGCATAATCGAGGTATGCTGAGTGTTTTTGGAAACATGAGCAGGGAAACTGAAGTCAAAAGCAGGATGGAGATATGCAAAATTATGCAAAATGAGGAAATCAGGCAAATTTGCTTACATTGCAAAATGGGTACAAGTGGTGGAATTCAGATCTTCGTGTGCAAAATCTGGGTTCCTTTGGTGCAAAATTTATCTACTTTGAGTTCAGGGGAAAGGTCCAGGCTTAACATTGGATGAAACAGCAATCTTAGAATGGAAAAACTGACTCCGTGGAACAGAACAAGACACTTCTCTGCCTCTCTGTTACCTTTCATATATTTGTGTTCTCCTCTCACTGTTCTCTTTCTTTATCTTAAATAGGGCTATGCATCAGAAATGGACAACCCTGATTTAATTCACATGATCCCAGCTGTGGTTTCGAACAAGAAGGAAGTTCTTTTCGGAAACCTCTCAGAAATCTATGAATTTCATAACAGGTTTGTGGAATGTGGCACAGTGGAACTCAGAATGTAGCTGTACGGTGTTTATTTGAAGGAAGCGTCTTTTAGAGACCTTAGAACATCAGTCCTAAAATAACTACAATGGCTGTAATCCATTGGCTGCAGCCCACCAGATAACAGGCTGGCTGTGATATTTTTAATGTAAGGAAATAATATATCTGAATATTATAAAGCTAACGTGTACGTAGCACCTGCAGTACAGTCTTAATGACCTTCAAACTCCAGGCAATAGGTTCCTTTTTGCAACCATAGCTGCAACCATAGACATGAGTGCCTTCCAACAAAGCTTTCTGCATGGAATTGCCATATAATTCTGTGAGAGGCCCAAACCTATGTTTTCATTTATAACTTTCCCTTGTTTTTCCCCAAACTTCTTCTGTCTCCTGAAGATCAGTTAAGGATGAAAAGGCAGAAACGGTGTCCTGTGTCTTTGGATTAGTCATGTGAATAGCTGCTTAGACATGCCTAAGAAGCCTTTCTTCCCTTTTCCAGATAAAAGATAATCACGCCTTAAGAGATGAAGAATAAGAACACTGCGTACCGTAGTCAGAAATAAGAAAGAAAGCTTTTATACTTCAGCTATTCTCACTTTTCTACATTACAGAAAGTGTACATTCTACATTACATTACAGAAAGTGTAATGGCTGATACGTTTAGTGAATGATGCCAGGAAAGGACCAGATGCAGCTATACCACCAGGAACAATGTAGCCACTTCAGATGAAGGACCACAATACACTGAGAACTGGGGCCAAGCCACACACATGCTGCCTAAATGTATCGTCCAAAACATCTGCTTAATGGTGTGTAAGGCACACTGATCTACCCTGGCAGATTGGTTTGTATGGGATACCTTTGAGACTTCCTGCTCCAAGTTGAGTCTGCCCATCCAATTAAAGGCCCCTATTTTGGGAGAATGCCATCTGCTGGGACCTATAATCATACCTTCTCAGGAATGGCCCCCTTCTGTGGAACAGCTTATTTTTATATTTATTTATTTGTCGAATTTATATAGCTGCCCATCTCACAAAACAAGTAACTCTAGGCGGTGTACAACAAAGCTAAAACAGTTAATAGATACCTAAAACAATAACATTATTGTTTTTATTAAAAACATTAAAAAGTATAAAAAACAAAGCTAAGAAAAAGAAGATGTTAATAATAACAGAGCCACCTCACTAGTTCACCAGTCCTCTGGGGTCCCCAGGCCCGATGGCACAACCAGGTCTTGCGGAAAGACAAAAGTGTTGGAGCCAGCCTCACCTCAGAGGGGAGGATATTCCACAAGGTGGGTGCTATAGCAGGAAAAGCCCGCCACCTAGGGCCTCCCAAGTGTAACTCCCTAGATGACGGAACCCATAACATGCCCTCTCTGCTGGATCTGGTGGGATGGGCAGAGGTAATTGTGGAGAGGCGGTCCCTCCGAAACCTGATCCCATGCCATGTAGGGCTTTAAAGGTCAACACCAGCACCTTGAATTGGACCCGGAAACAACTGCTAGCCAATGCAACTTGCAAAGCAGAGGTTCTAACGTGAGTTCTACCAAAAACATACATAATTGCTTGTGCCGTTGCATTTTGCACCAGCTGAAGTTTCCAGATACTTTGCAAGGGCAGCCCTATGTAGAGCGCATTACAAAAGTCCAACCGGAAGGTGACTAGGGCATGGGTGACCGTGAATAGGGCCCCTCAATCTAGGAACAGGTGCAACTGGCACACAATACAAAGTTGTATGAAGGCCCTCCTAGCCATGACTATCACCTACTCATCGAGCAAGAGTCCTGAGTCCAGGAGGACCTCCAGATTGCACACCAGGTCTGTTTGGGGAAATACAACCTCGTCCAGCACCAGAGGTGGCATAATCCTAGAACAGTTTGCCCCCTGAGGACTACCCTCTCCTTTTTGGGTTTCCAAAGAGCCTGGAAGACATGGGTCTTCAGGAAATCATTTGGGACAATGAGGATTGACTTCATTGGGTGGTACCATTGGGTGATATGGTTGTTTTCATGATTACAGTTTTGTTTCAATATTTAGTGGTTTGATATAAGCCTCCCAGAGCCATTGGGAGCCAACCAACCAACAATGCACAGATAGTGCTTTCCACATACAGATAGTCCTCAACTTACAACCACAATTGGGACTGGAATTTCCATCGCTAAGCAATGCGGTTGTTAAGTGAATCAGACCTGATTTTATGACCTCTTTTGCCATGGTCATTAAGCAAATCTGGCTTCCCCCATTGATTTTGCTTGTCAGAAGACCCCTGGGAAGGTCACAAGTGGTGATCACATGACTCCAGGATGCTGCAATCGTAAATATATGCCAGTTGCCAAGCACCCGAATTTTGTTTACGTGACCACAGGGACACTGAGATGGTTGTAAGTGCGAGGACTGGTCATAAGTCACTTTTTCAGTGCTGTCATAACTTTGAACAGTCATTAAACAAATGGTCATAAATCGAGGACTTCCTGTAGTTATCCCCAGTCAAGAACTAATAATATATGTTGAGCAGAGTACAGCAATGCTCCCAGAAAAACTTTGCCCAGGGAAAAAATACACACCAGCATGAGAGGTTTGCAAACTGCAATGTCCATATCTTGTTCTCCAAAGAAATTCAGCCAGAAAATATATACTATCTGGTTGTTTATTGATAAAAATACAAAACTTCATAAAATGCAAGTTGTATACAAAATATAGGGGGAAAAAAAACACGTCTCAACTTTGCCCAGGGAAAAAATACACACCAGCATGAGAGGTTTGCAAACTGCAATGTCCATATCTTGTTCTCCAAAGAAATTCAGCCAGAAAATATATACTATCTGGTTGTTTATTGATAAAAATACAAAACTTCATAAAATGCAAGTTGTATACAAAATATAGGGGGAAAAAAAACACGTCTCATAAATTCAGCATCCAAGACTTATCTACAAACATAAAGTCTCTAGCCAAAAACTCTCAGAGAAGAGGTACACTACTTGGTTATTACACGTCTCATAAATTCAGCATCCAAGACTTATCTACAAACATAAAGTCTCTAGCCAAAAACTCTCAGAGAAGAGGTACACTACTTGGTTATTACACGTCTCATAAATTCAGCATCCAAGACTTATCTACAAACATAAAGTCTCTAGCCAAAAACTCTCAGAGAAGAGGTACACTACTTGGTTATTAGTTACAACTACATAACCCATAAAACTACTTCACTACATGGTGGCTAACGCTAAAACAACTGCTAGGCTGGGCATACAATGCTCCAATTATATTGCCACTCCATACCCCCCCACTGGGTAACTAGCATACACACGCCAATAGGTGGCAGTAAATAGCAGTATGGGGCCGCAGTGGCTCAGCAGCTTAATGACGCTGAAAGTTGCCGGCCAGAAATGGTCGACACTTCAGCGGTTCGAGTCCAGCCTT